TTTGTACGATTTGTTAGATTTCACTGATTTGTAAAATACCTTTTCTCTCTCTCTCTCTCTCTCTCTCTCTCTATATATATATATATATATATATATATATAGACACACACAGACATGGATAGGTTCCATTGTGGATCATAGAACAAACAAGAGAGCACCATGTGTCCGGGACATTCACAAGATATTCATCATTAATGAGGACATGTGTCATTCTCTTATTTGTCCTCTAATTAACTAGGAAAGTTAACTTCACAACCGAACTCTCCGATCTATATATTACGTTTCATTGTTAACACAAGATTACAATTAAAACACCCACATGATTTTAATAATATGTAATTATTATACTTTAATATATAACCATATATTATATAGTACTTGAGATCATGTAAGACCAACATATTTTCGTGAAACCACAAATTAAAATTGAAGCTTCACAGGTTAACACTGTGAAGGTTCGATTTTGTACCTTTCCATAGTTTTCCAGTGAAGATTCAGTGTAATCTTTATGGTTTCACAGGTCTCATGAAAACAAACTGATCTCACAAGAATCCAACCCTATTAAATAGAGGGAGTAATGAATTTCTTATATTATTTATAAGAATAGAATTGAAAATCGGACAATTATTTAAAATAATATATATATATATATATATATATATTTCTTATATTATTTATAAGAATAGAATTGAAAATCGGACAATTATTTAAAATAATATATATATATATATATATATATATATAAAAGGAAGTAAATAAATAGAAGTAATTTTTTTTTTTCATTTTTGAGATTTATTCTCTACCTTTGAAGTAAAAAAATAATAGTATACATTTTACTCTTCTCAAACCAACATGAATATGATATTTACTTTGGGACTGTTTGTTTATCTCTTAATAATTTCATTAAAAGACAACCTCTTTTGTTTGACAAAAAAAAAGTCTGTCTTTTAATAATTCTAAAACCATCTTATCAAGCAATTATATTTCATTTTTGCACCATATCATAAGAGCATGTTAATCATTCTGATCATTTAATCACTCTACATCAAACCATTTAGTAACTATTAAACAACCCCTTAAGACTCGTTATTATTTTTAAATTAAATTAATAAAACCTATTAAATAAAAAAATTACAAAATATCGTGCTCCATCATCATTATGAGCATCGTTTCAAAGGAACATGATTACTTGATTTATATTCTACTTGTCACAACCATGGCCCAACCACGTTACGAAAACCTTGAACTCACTGGACCCAAACCTAGTTTGCTAGAAAAAACCATACCAAACCGAACCAAGCTGAGACGGTCCAAGTGCACTCCTCTTATGCACCTTTTGGATCGGATCCAAATCACATTGCAGTGCGGTTACTGTCTAATATGACGGGTTCTACTACACATTTTGCCGGTTTGTGTACCCCATATTACGAATGGGTTCGGTTCAAAACTTAAACCAAACAAATCCAGTAACTCACTCAGAGTAGGGTTTGAGAAGGGTTAAAGCATCTCCAACAGTTATGTTAAAATAAAGCTTTTGAAGATTTTTAAGCAATTTTTTATTCCAAGAAGTATGCTAAAATAAAGAAAAGAAGAGAGAAGGTGAAAATCTCCAAATTTGGATAAATCTCTAAAACTCGATATACGAGACTGAAATAACAGTTTAATCATTTCCCAACAATAAATGATTGAAAATAAAAGTTTAGGAGAGAGAAATAATATTTTATTAAATGTATTAAATATTTTACTGATATAATTAATGTTGGAATTGCTAAAATAAAGTAGCTCTTGAAGTTGGATATAATTTTTTTTAAAGATCTTGCTTATAATACTATTTTAAAAAAAAGTATAATTTAACTGTTTGAGATGTTTTTATATGTATACAAACCTTACTTTTTTTTTTCTTATTAACCTGGATATCCAACCCGCTATGCGAGTCGACTAATCCCAGAGCGACCACCTGCTTTAAAGATAACCCGGAGTCACCGCATTTGAACCTCCGTGGCCACAAATGGATTTTTATACCTCCTTGAATTTGAACCTGAGACCTCATGATACTTTTGACATTTGGAGTCAAGCTCAAACCAATCAGGCACCACCCTTGTGGTTACAAACCTTACTTTTATACCAAAATGTAGAACAATTGATTATGTGAAAGCCCTCAACTTGTAAAAAGGATTCGAGAAAATGATTTTGCAACCAAAAAAAGGTTTCAAACCTTGTCGATTCCGATCATATAAAGACCTCAAACCGACTCGAGCCCAAACCTTTTATGCACCTCTATCGTTTAGTTCTAGAGGGTTTTTGCTCTCGATGCCACTCCTTCCTTGCCACATAAAGTTTCTAAAAGCATTTCCAACACTTTCTCCAAAAAAAAAATAACCAAATAGTCTTTGATCTAGCGGTATCGTAGTCTTTGGCCTCCTACGAGGTCAGGGGTTCAAACATCACCAAAGGTGAGGAGGGTGTGTGAGTTGTTTTGGTTGCATTTGCCGTATATAAATATTTATTTATATACTTCAAGAAAAAGAAAACAAACGTAAAAATCTCCAAAAAATCACATTCAACTCCAACAATCTCCCAATTTTAAAGATTCCAACATTAATTATATCATTAAAATATTCAATAATATAAAAATAAAAAAACACATCCTTTTCTCTCTTCCTCCATTCTCAAAATTTGTAGAATTTTTCTGAGAAAAAAAAAAGTCGAAAAACTCCAAACAATCCTTTTTTTTCTCCGTTTTGAAGGAGCTGTTGGAGATGAAATAAAATAAAGTTACGGGTTAAATTAGATCGAACCGTGAAAGCTCCTGAAGGCTATAATTGTATATTTTTATGGCATAAGATATAGGACTAGTTGTAAAACATGCACCAGAAGCGAATTTATATAATAATTCAATTAGTTCAAGCACACGCAACCTGTCGTTGTTTCGTCATCTTCTCGAGATTCATTGAAACCAATTTCGTTAGATTTGGATCTTCAAAAGCGAGCTCGGCACCAACCCTGCAAAGAGAAACACGAGCGAGCATCTATGAATTACAAGGACACTAGAACCAAAAACGGGAAGAACTTTTTTTTCGAATGCAACTAATGATGTTTAATTATTCAGAGTACCACATCGGCAAAATTTCGACCAATTAACCTAAATTATATGTTGGAACCTCCAATCTCTCTCTCTTAAGGGCTTTTTTGGTTCATTTAGGTATATAACCTTAAATGAGATTTTTATTAAATTCATGACCTTTTAACGTATTAAAGAAAAAAATGACTTCATACTAATCAGAAGATCACAAATTGAAATTAAGATTTATTTTTAAGGTTGTAGGGTTGGATTTTGGTGATGATGGAAGTTACAGTGAGAAGGGTAAGAAGAGATCTTCACTCTTGGATCAATCTTAATTGAAGATCAATCCTAATACGGTGCACCGAGATGCACTGGATCAATTCTAGTGATAAGTGAAATTCATGGGGTGGAGGTGAGATTAAAAGTGATCAAGGGTCCATATCACTTTTTACACATCTAATCTTAACTCCTATTCTCATACGATCCTTCGTCTAAGGTTATATACCTAAATATACTGGTCTCCTCTTTTAGAGGGTAATCTAATGGGGTTTCATATATACCTACCGTTTGCAACTTATTGCTATTTTGTCCTTATAATTTATAACTTATTGCTGTTTTGGTTCCTGTGGTTTACAATTCTTTGCTTTTTTTGTCCCTTGTACTTGAAAGTAGGAATTAGGCTCAGGGACGAAAATCATATTTTTTTAACAAACCACAGGGACGAAAACCATAATTTACACAATTTATAATTCTACCCTTAATTATGATGCAGGAATATTCAAGAGTTGATGAGATGGAGACACATTCGTCACTAAAAATTGTAACAATTATCAAGGATAAAATAGTCATTTGGTTAACTAAAAAGACAAATTTCTAAAACTACGTTACTTTTGTGGACATTTATTTTGGGATGGACGGAGTATATAATAAGTGTCCCTTAAAACATGCCTAACTACCTCAGTAATAATTAGACCGTCACCTCAATGTTTAACTATAGTTTTCAACTTCCTCCAAGTGCTTGTCGAGTACAATATCCGAGTGGCATTGATAGTTCTAAAGCTCCGCTATGAAGAGGGAAAATCTAAAGCAGTTGGAAACCTAATGTTGGGATATAATGGTCCTTGATTTCTTCTATCATAGTATGTTTGCATTCTATATGGGATTAGATAAAAGATCAAAATTGGCTCCATCCAAATTTTCACCATTTACTTCGATTCAGCAATTCCTTTTTGTGGGTCCCATTTTCACGATGTGGAGCAAAATTAAGATGGGACCCACGAGAAGAAGAAAAATGGAGGGAAATAGATCAAACAAATGGTGAAGGAACTCAAAGTATTGTTGCATATTCGTTTTTAGCCAGAATCTTCCCTTTTCTAAAAAGGGGACACTAAGCCCATACAGGCACTAATTAAACTTAAAAGCTAAAGCCCTCATTTATATAAGATAATAAGGAATTGTGCTGTAAAGCATGAAAGACCACAAAAAAGTAGAACCTTTAAAAGGAAGCATAAACATAAATAAAAAGAGATTCCAACTGTCTTACTTTGGATCCAACACCAATTTTTGAACTTCTTTAATGGATGAACTTGCTGCATATAGAGAAATCTTGCCAACCTACAACCGATAAGAAGAAAGGGCAATAGTAAAGTAAGTCAGTAAAAACCAACGCTAAGCCACAAAAAAGAAGAGAAAAGCAACAAAAAAGGGCACTTAAAACAAAAGGGTGTAAGCTCTTATAGGCAGTGAAATAATGTTCGACCTCTAACATCTGAAGCTTTGCATCATGGTCATTTGGAAGTTCACGGATTTCTCCAGCTAATCTTACAGCCTCCGCTAGACTTTCAGGGAAAAGGAAATCGAGGCCTAATTGAACCGATGACTGCAAAAGTTACAGAAGGGAAAGTGGTACAGAAAAAAACCAGAAATGAGAACACAGTAGTTAAAACACAAAACCCGAAAATTTATACAAGTAGGGTCATGTTCAGGGGAAAACCGCAAAAAAATGAAAAACAATAGAAGACCATGGTAACTGTTCATCTCGACGGTATGCACATGTGCATACAAATAATTAGTAAGCAAATATATACATCAATGCCATAACTTGTAACAAATAGATAGAAAAGATGATACTCATATGACATGTCACGGGGAAACTAATGAAGCAAAGTAACAATGAATACTGGAAAATATACCCACGAGAACAAGATTAAGATTGAAAGAGAAGAATGCAAATAATGCAATTTGGCCATAGTCAATTACGTGTGTTGAATTAAGATCTTTAGTTAGAGGTTCTCCATAAAAAGATAATACACCCTCACCATAAAATATCCACTTTATAATTTTTAGTTGTCCTAGGAAAGGAGTTCTTTTAAAAAGCATTGAACTCACCTGAAGGTTCCTCACTTGGAAAGGACATCCAGCAGGGATGAATACAGCAACCCCTAATTGCTGCTCAAATGACCATGGCTCTATACCTGACCAAGAATTGACATAAATATCAACAATGTAAGGAATTTCGGGTTGAAACCATCACTTGCCCTATTATAGATCTATTTATTTCAGGACACAATAAAAAAAATACATGTATGTAATCATCAAATATAACAAGAAAGTAACCTTGATGAACATTTGTGGCAAACTACAAGCACGAGATATTTAGATGGTAGGATTTAGAACTTTAGAAACTTGTAACATAAGTATGGAGGATAGACAAAAATCCCTTAATATTGCAAGTCTTGATGGTAAAACTTACCAAATTCTTCCTTTAGTTTCCTTTTATGATGAATGTTGAGGTATATCACTCCTTCATGAAGAGGCCATGGTACCTAAGATCCATGGATCATGAATCATAGATCAATGATCCTCAATTGAAAAACGTCTCATTAACAGAATAAAATAAAGTAAGATCGGACTTACAGAATCATTTATGATGTTGTCAGCCATACCAATTTCCTCCCAATGAACTCTCATATACTCGATCAGCTTTGGAACATCCTCACGGCGGAAGATGTCCCAAATTGCTCCTGGATGACTCTTTCTAAGGGTCTCTTCACAATTTCTGTTTAAATCTTCACATTTAAGAGTTTTCTCATCATCAGTAGTGGTGGGAATGGTAGTTGTAGTAATACTGATCCCTTGGCTTTCTGTTCTATCATCTTCAATTGAATCTAAACTTATCTCCCCGTCATTTTTCGTACTGTGTTCAGCAATCGGTGATTTTGGTAACATTTGTTCGCTTAAATTGTCTGGTGCCTTTTCTGGTGACTTGGCTACCTCAGATTCTCCAAGACTTCCGTGTCTCTGCAGAGTCTTTGTCTTTAGCAAACCTGGTAGTTTTACTTCACATGTATGAACCAATAGGTATACCTATTCATGCCACATGAATTCATAACTTGAATTAATATTACCTGGACTAAAATTAATATCACCTACAACAGAAAGAATATATAATAAATCATTCTTTTCTATTTACTAATAGCGCAAGGGGGTTTATCACAAAAATCATTTGCTATTGTTCGAAACCACCACCACCCTATTAAAATTAACCATATATTCACTCTCAATTTTTAAGACAGACCATGTAAGATCCCACATTGGTTGGGGAGGGGAACAAAGGTCACGTTATAAGGACTGGATACCTCCTCTATCGGACGCATTTTATAACCGTGAGTCGAGGTGTGTGGACAAAGCGGATAATATCTGATACGGTTAGCCTGGGACTTTACAGATGGTATCAGAGCCAGGTTCCAGGCTGGTCTGCCAGCGAGGACGCTGGGCTCCCAAGGGGTGTGGATTGTAAGATCCCACATCGGTTGGGGGGGAACAAAGGTCGCCTTCAAAGGGACTGGATACCTCCTTTCTCAGACGCTTTTTAAAACCATGACTCTTACGTGAACCAATATGTCCAAGTGAACCCTTTTCGTCCAGGTGTGTGGACAAAGCGGACAATATCTGGTTTGGACGTACGGTTAGCCTGGGACGTCACAGATCATAAGCTCAGGGTGCTGAAAAATCTAGATGATTGCGAAAATGACAGATTCCCAACGCTTGAATATTTCTTGTCAATATTAATCCTTGAAGTTGGGAGCATGATCATTATAAAAGCATTAGGATAAACCTGAAATGAAGATAAATGAACTCACCACATCACGCATATTGAAACGGAGCATGTTTACTGAGTCACCTTGACCAAGTTCATCATGCATTCCATAAGAAATCAAGATCTTAGGCCCTACATCATTCTGCAGAGAGTAATGAGGCAATTTTGCAGCAAGATTTAGAAGGCCCCATTTGGAATGAATATACTCGAGCAAAGGCAGTTTACTAATAAACTCAGGTCTCTGGTACAATAAGAACTCTTCAGAAGCACTAGGAGAAGGCCAGTTCTTTAGCACTAACATTTCTGGCTGATGATCTTCCCGTAAGCGACCCTCAGAGTATCCTCTAATAAATTGTCCAAGTTCAATATCTATCTGGCATCAAATATAGGCAAAAGAGATGTAAATCAGTACAAAAGATAGCAGAAAATAGTAACTATGAATGCCAACAATGATGGGAAAGAAGTAGTTCTTCAGAAAGAACATTAAAAGTGGCAGGATAGTTCTACAAGGTCTACCAATTGGAGTCAAAAATTTAAACCTACCTCAGAGCGATCTAAGCAATCTATAGCCTTCACAGCTCTATTATCGTCCTTCATTCTTTCATCAGTTGTCTCTTGAATTCCTTTCCACATGACCATAGGATCCCAGCCCAACATTGATGATTCATCACAAACCTCTCTCACTATAACAGGTTCGCCTTTGATCCAATGCTTTCTAAATTCATTGATCCCTTCACTTTTTATATCTTGACTGGAAGGAGCATACACGAAATTGTCATTGTTATTCTCTCTTCCTTCAGACTGGCATAGTGTGCTGCTTACACCATCTATCTTTGGAGGGTTGAAGTCATACATTTTACACCCACTAACCATTTCATCAACATTTTTCACAAGTTTTGCAACCCAATTCATCTTAAAGATACGTTTTAACATCAAGGGTGAGTTACCACAACCACCATGTTCCTTTGGCGGGCATGGAACACTTCCATCAGTGTTGGCTTTCCAATCACAAAGCTTATTGGATAGTCTCATTTTTGGTTTCAATGGTTTCTCTTGCTTTGCAAGGGGATCTGTATCTTCATTTCTCCCATCAGTCAGATTTCTGCTCACTTCTGCTTCACCACCATCTTTTGAGGCTTTTCTTACATCTTGGCAGCATCTGAGGCATATATCATACGAGCACTTCTCACAGTGCCGGTGATAATCAATTATGGGTATTCTACAGAAGTCACTGTCACAATACACTTCTTAGTGAGATATCTTTCATATGCAAATGAAAGAAACTTCTGTGCTTATAAATCATTCATCACCAAAGAAGATATTGGCTAAAGGTCGTATTCAACATGTAGCATTTCCAGATTATTAATTTTTTTGCAAAAAGCAGTATAATGCAAATTAAAATATGACTCGATGTTATTTTGCAGGTATTTATATGCATATAGATATTTCTCAGCTAGGAAGTGATACCAGCACATTTGCTCATCTGCGTTTAACTTCGTCCTGGGAAGGTCTATTCTGTTTCCTGAAGAAAACATAAACAAAAACATGTTATCTTTATATCAAAAAGATTAAAGTTAGACGACTCCACAATTGCATTTTCAATCTTTAAAGCATAATACCTCGAAGCCTTCTTTCCAGTTCTAATTCAGAGCACTGTTCAAAGTGGATCTGCTTAACCACAGGAAGCACCGAAGACAAAAGACAAAAAAGATGCTCCAACTTCTCTTGGCCAGGTATATCCCGTATTTTTCCCTACAAGTTAAAAAAAATTCTGGTCATTCTTCAAATGAGCACCCAAAAATAATTACAAATATGGACAAACCCAGGACCTTTAAGAAAGGGAGAACAACATCTTTGCTACTTGATTTGAGTGAGAAACCCAATCAGAAAGGCTCAGCAAGCCAATGGTTCTCACCGCCCACCTTTGGCATAAAGACACTGAGCGCTTTATCCTATTACTTAAATCAACTTTCATCTAGTCAACAGAAATCTGTTACCTTTATCATATTATCGCCCCGTAAACACATCTTGCAATTACAGCTACCTCGACATACGGGGCAAATTCTATGAATTTCTTCAACTGGAATGTCAGGATACCTGCAAAAAGAGGGTTAAGTCAAGTAAACTGTAGTCCAAAGCAATGCACTATTCCCAACACAGTCAATGTTACCATGTGGCGATGCATTCATCACAATATCCTCTCCTATCACATTTGAGGCACCAGACAATTCTCTCTGTGTCATCCCGCCGGCACTGATGACAAATTTGCCCACCTGTATCCTCAGAGGATTCTGAGCTTCCATCAGAAGTTTCCTGAAAACGAGCCAAATAAAAATTGTATATAAGTACAACAAAAATTATTAGACATACTAAACTTTGAGTAAACCAATGTGGTGAAAGAAAGTACATCAAGTACATCAAACAAGTGAATGTATCTCCAATTTATTCCATTTAAGGCATGTGAGGAGTCTGCTGTCTGGTGATTCCACAATTCATTGGTATCACCAATACATGGTTATAAGGATTGAACAAAAAACATAAATTGGGAATAATTTGTACCATCTTGCTGCGTTTCTCTCCATATGGACCTATAGATTTGATTTGAAGGCAAGTTTTGGCCAATATACATAAACTAGCAACATACTTTTCTTCAATTCTCATGCTTAGCAACTTACATTTATTTATTTATGGAAACTAGCAATTTACTACCAATTTATTCCATTTAAGGCAATTTGTTACCAGTTAAGACATTAACCAGTCAGTTTTGATGCTTTGTTGCATAAGTTGATGTGGCATCAAATCTTATTATTGTTATATGCTCTCTCCAGCAAAATTCCATACCCGAAACTCACTCCGCTGACTTTTCACCACCCCCCTACCTTTATGTCCCGAAATCCTGCCTGCAAACTCTCTGTCCTATTCTCCAGCATCCCCACAGCAGCAGGGGGGGTGGATGGCTGCCAGCGGTCGCTCCCATAGTCTCTCTTTGTGTCTGTAATTGTTTGTTACTCTTGGCAAAAAGAAAACCTAATTAAAGTAAAAAATTATTTAAATTAAAAAAAATCGACATCAGCAGCCACATGGATGATGACATGGTAGAAAATGAAGAAACTCGTGTTACATCATCGATAAACAGGTTCCAGAGTTTTGGTTGCTCGAAATAGAACAAACTAGAAGTTAGTTGCTATATTCCGTTTAAGAAAAGGTAAATTGCTTACAATGGGAATCGAGGAAAAGTAAATTGCTACTTTATGCAAATTATTGGTTATAAACAAGACACTCGGATCATTTCATATAACGTTCTCCTATGAGCAAGTAATGAAGTACTAAGAGCTAATTATATATTTGCACTAATATTGTTGAAAATTTATCAGGATTCAGGAATAATGCAAAATTACAAATCTGCTTACCGTCATAGCACTAGCACCATGCATCTTATCAGATCTGCTCTTTGATGAATCTGCAACAGAAGATGGTGTCCTGTAAGCCCTTGGTGTCTCTTCAGACTCTGCCAAATCTCTTTGTGGATCATCATTTGATTTTGAAGAAATGTGAACAGATGAATTTTTGAAGGAAGGTGTTTCAGGAGAATAACTAATCTGCTTCTTTGGCAACTTTTCCTTGTGTTTATTCCCTGAGCCTGATATGGGGAAATCCACAAGTGGTGAATCCATATCATCACTCTTACTCTCTAAATAACTGTCGCTTTCACCTACCGATTTCCTCTTTGCTTTCTTAAGACTGGCTCTCATTGCTGAATTTGCAGCTCTTCTCTTTGCCTGAATGTAGTGCTTCTCGCATACTGTTTTGTCTGGCATGGACATGGCATGGCATCTCCACTGTTTACCATCTGATCTCTTACACCGCAAATCATCAGGAATTCCAGCATTATCCTCAGCAGTGCCAGAGTTTGACCGTGTATGATCCATTCTGATTATGAAATAAAATTCAAACGAAATATCTTGTACTAAACCATGAGCCTAGATCAACCTGTACAAAAACAACCCAGAAATATCATAAGCCATGAGATAGAGAAAAATAGATAGACTTCTTGGCTTTTGTTGTTACCACCCTCCAAGTAGGGTCCACTAACCCTACCAGACATTGATGACACATCAGCATAACATGTGACCACAAGGTCTCCTCCAAGTGGTAACTCAAGAAAAGACTGATGTGACACCTATCAACATAAAATTCACCTCAGAATTCTAATTATTTAAAAAACTGAGTAACATTCCAAGAATATAGTAATCACGGGCATTCACTAGATCCCTCAATTTTTAAAATATCCTTTTGATGCGTATCAGTTTCTCAATATAAAGACTTGGGATAATGGCACAAATGCTTCAGTTACTGAGCTTCCAAAGAGTGTATTCTAACTTCTCTATACAAGGAGTAATATTAAAGAGATCTTATGGCATCCATTACGCATGTTGCCATCTAATACTCAGCTAAAATAATCCTGTTATTAGTTATTACCACTACTAGAGAAAAGACTAATACACTTTTTCTTCTTAATTTTTCCAAGCTGAGTGTGTTTCTGTATCCTTAGCAAGCTACAAAAAGACTATTTTAGAGACGATTTTCATGTGGTTTTTATTATATAGTAAAAAAATTTAAAAACTAAGTTGTTCCAGTTGAAAACCATAAAGGATGTAAATTTCTGAGTATGTTCTCATTGCAGTATTCTATTTAATGTTTATGGTAGTAGAATACAAAATCACCCACAGCAGACAAACCAGACCAAACGAACCCAATATATCTCATGTAGAGGTAGGGGTAGGTCCTTTGAGGGGGGCTACTTTCATGAAGACTCTCCCGGCTTGTAATTCAAATTTTAAAAGAAAAGAAGAGAGCAACGACATATGAGTAAGTTGCAGAAGAGTTTGCAAGCAATAGAATGAAAACTAGGGAAATATAAAATGCCCCGCTATCTAACATAGGGTTCTCATAACCTAACTGCCACCACTCTACACACCCCCGTCTCACCCTCTATCTTCACCAAACTCCCCTTCTCCCCTATCCATATTATAATACCCACAACCTTAGAAATCAATAAAGAATTCATTAACCTCAACTTTAGAAACCTTCTGACTAAAGGAACAGAAGCTAACATCAGGGTAACAAAATCATGGAATATGTACCTGGATGCATAAGGCAAGAAACAAAAAAGAAGGATCGACAAATTTAAACAGTAAATGAAAAAGGCAGCATAAACTAATGACAACACACAACAAGAGACAGAAATGACCAACAACTCTTGTTGATGTTCTTTAGATAGGGGAAGAGGGATGATCCGCATCATGATTAGCTTTCAACTAGGTTAATCAGTCAAATACCATGGACCATCCATCCATTTGACTCCAGTCATTCCATATTAAAGTACTAAGAAACCCAGAGATCATAAAATAGAGAGTACTCGACCTTGGTAAACTTAAAACATATAAATACGAATCATATTAAGCAAATTATTGGGATACGATTGTCTTCCTCCAGCTTAATCAATCAAAATACCTAAAAGAAAACTTCAATAACAAAACTAAGAAATCCGGGTATAATCAAATCGAGAACATTGGACTTAGCACATACACGGATTGCATGAGAGAACTACAATTGATCAAATTAAGAGAAATAGCGGAATGAACTAAGCACTTCCCACCCTTAATCAATGAAAAACCCTAGATTACCAATTTACTGAATTCCACTTACTCCACAACACAAAACACAGAAATTCATACACCAATTATAATCAATAAATTTAATCTTACTACATTCAAGCCCTAAAATACCAAGAAAACTCAGGAAAACACGGAAAAAAAAATTGGGGAACTACAATTGATCATATTAAGCACATATTGGGATGACAAAGTCAGATAAAAGATATTTACGAATGGTGACAAAACTCACGAGAATCCGTAATCGAGGATTGCTGTTGATCAACGTTTAGTTGAAATTCGTCGATTTTATCTGCAACTTTCGCCGGTGTTTCAACCTTTGAGAATGCAAGGCAGGAAGAAGAGAGTTTTCCGCTGTTTTGGTGAAGAGAACACAGGGGAGGTCAAATTACTTTCATGCCCTTCTCACCACTAGCATGACATGCACGGGTGTCCGAGTTATAATTTAGAGGTAGCGGGTGTTTTGGGATTGGTTTGGTTTTATTTATCTCTTAACAGTTTCATTAAGAGACAGTCTCTGAATTGTCAATAAACGAATATTGTTTGGTAAAAAGATATATTTCTTAATGGTTCTAAAATACTTTAAATAATTTTGTATTATGAGTCTCCCTTAATTATTTGATGTTCTAATTTTGTTGTAAACAATTACCAAATAATTATGTTTTATTTTACATTATGTCATGAGAGCCTCTTAATCATTTTACACATAATCATTCAACAATTGTCAAACAACTCCTTATTTTGAGATGGTATCGGTAATAAATGGTTTTAAGCGTTTGGATGGAGAAAAAAAAAGTTGCTTATACTGGTGTCAAACCGGTAATAAGCAGTTTTTAATAAGTCAATCCCCATAACTTATCAAATTCAACTTATTAACAATTTACCTTTTTAACCCTTTTTTTAATACCCTTTACCTTTAACCCTTTTCATTTTTTGATACGAACCAGAGAAATCGAATCCTACCCTATCCTTCCTCAAGCGACCGACAATCGAACCTGTGAAACCAGATAAATCGAACCAGAAATCAGAATCGATTATCAACCTTCTTCTCCTACACGTAAGCGACCTTCTTCCTCACGAATTATTGTGATTTCTCCTTATACAATCGATCAATCTTGCTGTAATTGCTAACGTAAATCGATTTTTGTGTATTTCCATTATGCGATTTCTCTTCAGAATCGATCGACCTTTGCTGTGATTTTTACAATCTAACCTAGTTTTTGTTTAGAAACATAATGAATATCATGGGTTAGATATACCTAGTGGCATGTATACGTATTGACATCTACCTCTTCTTCTAACAAAAAAGCCCTCTAATTTCAATACCTGTAAGCAAAACATCAAGAAATCAAATGTTGAGTCAATAATATGGAAGAATGTCATTTTTGGTTACTTTACCGTGTAATCAAAAATTGTCAAACATTAAAAAACAATTTATCAGCTTTTTGCGTTTTTGTACCGCCATAAGCTAATCCAAACACTTTTTATAAAACTCCGATTTTGCACTACAAAAGTTAATAAGCACTTTTGATTTGTCTTAATTATGCTATTTATTCGAGTAATATTTTATTTTCTTCACCAAATTGTCTGAAACCTATGCCTTTTTTAATCCAATCGTAGGCGTTATACCAATGATAACCTTGTTCTTCTTGTAGTCTGCAATTCATTGATATTTTCATCGTGAGGCTAAAGGCATGTTTGTTAGCAACTTAATGAGCTTAACGAGTCTCACAGCTTATTCGGTCAGCTATACATAGTGATGGCCAAAAACCGGTCCTGGGTCAGGCCAGGTCAGGCCTAATCGGTCCCAGGCTTTCTCATAACGGGCCATAACCGGTCCGGGTCGAAAATGGTAGGATCGGTCAAGGTACTTCATAACCGGTTATAGGACGACGGTCCCGACTTTAAAAAATAAGATTTTTTTTAAAAAAAATTAATGATATATATTTTTAATACATTATAAAATTTACAATTGGGTCACTCAAATATACTTTAAAAATGCGTTTTAATATAATTAAAACTACATTGTCTTATAAAAATACATTATAAAATTATTTAAAAATACATTTATTTATAAAATTATTTGAATTTTCGGGCCGGGCTGGGCCAGTCCATAGCCGGTCCCATAACCGTTCCCGGTCCCATGAAACTATCAAAAACCCCAACCGGTCCGGTTTTCGGTCCCATAATCGGTCCCTTACCGATCCCGGGCCAGGCCGGACTGATTTGGTCATCACTAATTATACATGACTGTTTGATAGTGACTTAATTATATAGAACATGACTTATTCAATAAGTTTTTAGAATTTTATATAGAAAGTCACGTTTTTTTTTTCAAACTTGCCCTCCTAATTAAAAACGCCATCCTTCTATCCATGGAAAAAGCCTCCCAAATACAAATCTTCCATGTCCATATAGATAGATTAATCCATAAAGACAGCTTTATTTGTACAGAACTAAATGAAAAACCAACCAAAGAGCCCTCAAGATGAAAAAAATGATGAATTGTAAACATAAAAAGGAAATAGCAATAAAATGTAAACCACAATTTCTAAACCACAAGAGAAAAACACTATCAACTAACCACAAGAGTGATGTCTGATTGGTTTGAGTTTGGCTCCAAATGTTAAAAGTGTCAGAGGTCTCAGGTTCAAATCCAAGGAGGAACAAAAATCCCCTTGTGGCCACAGAGATTCAAATGCGGCAACTCCAGACTACTTGCAAAGCAGGTGGTTGCCCTGGAATTGGTCGGCTCGCAAAACAGGTTGGATATCTAGGTTGGTTTAAAAAAACACTATCAACATTGATTCTCAATTATAAAATAAATGAATACATACATTTAAAAATCATCTGAAAACATAAAACCAGCAAATTGATCTATAAATACTAAACAAAAAATGGAACACCAATATATATATATCTAAATCCCCAAAAGACTTATCGACAAACCCGAAAAGCTCGAAATCGGGATTCCGAGCAACCCTACACATCTCCCCTCGAATCGGTTACACCGAGTTTTCCGTTACCATGTTCGAGGGCTAAAAACCCAGTTCGTCAATTTTGGCACATTTCGTCTACAAATTATCGTTCAGATATTTCTTTGAATCATGTGCAAGAGACTCTCCACAATTTCCGACATCGGTGGCCTAAACTCCGGCTCGGGCTACAGAAAAACAAACGAAACAGTTATGTTAAACTACGTTTTGCGGTTTCGGTATGAAGGCATGAATATAATTCAAATAACGAAATTTCATATATAAAAAAACTAAAACGACCAACGGAATCGGGTTTAGTTAAGTCGGAAAATAAAAATCGAAGAAACAACCTTGAAAGACAAGTAAAACATCGAGAACCAACCTGAACGCATAGAGAAATAATATCGGCAAACCGAGATAAAGACTTGGAGGAACACGTAGCACGTACCGAAGGATCAACCATTCCCGCTAAAGCTTCTATATCATGTAGCCGAGAAATCGCCCACCTCACGAGAAATTGTTCCCCCCTTGGCCTTGAGCTATAAAACTCAAGTTTCTATCATCAGCAAAACATATATATATATATATATATATATATATATATTTGTGTATCTATATGGAGTCAGATTCATACAAGAACATGTCGAATCACGTGTGATTTCACTAAAATCATGTGTAAAATCACATGTGATTCACGTGATTTTAGGTCACAGGCCACATCGTCCGCGCACCCTTGTGCTGACCGTTAGTGTAAAATCCAGGGACGGACCTATAGTGGTGCATACGGTGGCACGTGCCACCGTATTATTCCTCCGTCGAAGGGTAAAAAATTTTAGGTTCGTGAAAGGTGCAACCGTATTAATTTGTTGTGTGCCACCGTATGTATTTTGAAACTACAATGAGAACAAATTTTATTTGGTAGAGTTGGTTTACAAGACTTTTATTCCATCTCAGGCCCAAGTTCGAATCCTATTAGTGTTATTTTCTTAGTCAAATGGTGTCACTGTTGGGAAAAAGAATATATACATTTCTTTCTTATAGTCAAATGGTGCCACCATTTAAAAAAAAAATCTGAGTCCGTCCGTGGTAAAATCACATGTGATTTTGCACGTCATTTAGCCATTTTCGTGTTTTTTATTTAGTTTTTTTAACTTTCTCATTTTGAATGATTAAGTCCTTGAACCATTTTTTTGAATGAAAAAATCATTAACTTTCACATTCTGAATGATTAAGTCCCCAAATTTTAAAAGAAATAAAATAAACCATAGTACTTTTACTAATCGGTTAATGTAACATTATTTAGTTAAAAAGATGCTGGTAACCAATTTTTAAAGTGCGATACTTAATTTATTAAAATAATGTTCAGGGACTTAATCAATCAAAATGAAAATGTTTAATGGTTTTTTCATTCAAAAAAATAGTTCAGGGACTTGATCATTCAAAATAAGAAATATGTGTGTGTACACAGTCGCTCTACTCGTTGAGAACTGTGAGAACCAGCTTTCATGAGTCGTTTCACATTATGAAACAATTCATGTGACAATGAATTGCTTTTTCACAATGTAATTATTTTTAATGTCTATTTTTTAGTATAATGTGAAACAACGTTGTACATTCACATGCATTGTGATGTGATCATCGGTTCTCAACCTTTTTGTGATTCTCATTTGATTATGCTGAGTTATTCTCAAGAAAATGGATTCATGAAAACAACGTTAAAGACGGAATATATAGATGACCTGTCAAAAGCTTTTCGGCCGGTGAAAAGTTCTAACATAATGACTCCAAAGCTATAAACGTCACTCTGGTAAGTATAAACTCCCGACTCAAGTTCCGGGGCACCATATCCCGAACCCTGCAACTGCTAAAATGAAGTCGTGTCAAGACCGATCAGAAAAGAATCAAAACGAATTAACAGTGTGGCTCGATGGATAAGGAACCGGTTACCTGGCTAGCGTGGCTCAATGGTAGTAGCGGAGCCAAACCGCAATCCGAAACACGTGCATTCAGCTCATCGTCAAAAAGAACGTTCGTGGACTTCACATTGTGATGAACAACAGGTGGTTGGCAAACCTCGTGCAAGTACCTAGTCGCAAACAAAACACGAAAGTCCTCATCGGTATCAAATGTATGTCTTAGTAACCATTCATTTGTACTGTATGCACATGTGTATACAAGTAATTTGTCTGGTATGCACATGTGCATAACATGTCATAGAAACCAAAAAACATCTTCCTTTACTTGTATGCACATGTGCATAACATGTCATAGAAACCAAAAAACATCTTCTTCTACTTGTATGCACATGTGCATACTGTACAGAAAAATGGATATTAGGGTGTTCCTCATTTTCTCATTTTTTTGGGGGTTTTCCCTTGAACCTCACTATACACACATATATAGGGAGGTTTAAATGAGAACAACAAAGAAGTTGAGAATTGTGAAAATAGATCTCAACCGTCAGATGATTTGATCCAAGGGATGCCACTAAACGGGTGGTTAAAATTTACTTTTAAAACTAATCCCGCTATTTTTTTATTGAAAATATACGAAATTGGAGCGAAACAAATTATATCAATTCGAAAATATGTGTGTCTATATATAATATATAATTTGTACTTACTCAAGGGCTCTTGCAATGTGAAGTGCCACATGTACTCGAGAATTCCACGAAAGCCGCTCGTGCATTTCGTCATTTAGATGCAAAGCTTCATGTAACGTCCCGTTTTCGCAATACTCGTATACAAAAAGCCGTTGTCCGCGTTCAACACAGTAACCCTCGAGCCCGACTATGTTTTCGTTTCGAAGCTTGGAAACATTCGTCACCAACTCCATAAAACGTTCATCGCTCCACTTCCGAGAAGTTGCATCATCGAGTTTTTTGATCGCTAACCGCTGAAGATTATAAAGCGGAAAACGTCAAAAACCACACAAACGAGCCATTAGTACGAAACCAAATATCGTTTTAACAAAATCTTACCTTTCCGCTAGGAAGCTCCGCTTTGTAAACCGTAGCGAGCATACCACTTCCGACAAGATTTTCTTGAGAAAAGCTATCGGTATACTCTTGAAGAGAAGCTATCGAGAAAAACCGTGCAGAGTTTACGTTTTTTCTTGAAGTAGGACGCTGGTTGGCCGGCGGAACTGCAAGCGGTTTCACGATAACCCGTTCACGAGGAGACGGTTGCAAAGGTAAGGCCGGTGGTGTTGGAAAAGAACTTGCATCGACCTTCGCCATGTCTATCCTATGATCCTCCTTACTCTTGGAAACCGTTTCAAGTTTCTCCGCAGACCTCGCCAATGAATCCTTACTTCCAGTATCTCTGCGTTCGGATGGTTTGAAGACGTTAAGCGTTGCGTTTTTTACATGCTCTCTCTTCGAAACTTCGACCGTCGACTTCTCTTTTCGGCGTCTCGAAATACAAAAGCAAAGTCCCGATGCGAGTATGATAAGAATCAAGAATCCACCGATAGCAACCAAAACTACTTTATTTTTCGTTAAGGAGTTCGATTTTCCGGGAGAATGTGGTGGAGGCTCCGGTGGTGATTGTCCAAATACTTGAATTCCGGGGCCAATTTCCGGTGGGTGTGGCGCAAAAGATGATGGCGAGGGAGATAACGCCGGTGGAGAAGGAATAATCGTTGTATTAAACGGGTTTCCGGTGCTTCTGCATTCCATATTCGAACATTATAACGTAAATTAAGTTTGTATAGAATAAAATTTGCAACTAAATAAAAGAAAGTCTCTTTATCCCATTGATCCCGACTAGATGCATAATTCAAGCGATGTTTAACGACTAATCAAATGTCTTAAATACCCTTCATTAACGACAAGATAGGTGGATTTTTAAGGACCCAAAACAATGACAAAAATGGGCAAAACAGTAATTGCATTATTAAGAAGTTGAAAATGATGTTATTCTAGTCTCCATGAGAAGAAGGGTGTATGTATCATCTACTCCCTTCGTCCCAAAATAAGTATCCACTTTCAAAAGTAGGTGTCTAGTTTCCAATTCTACCCTTAATTATGAGACGAAGAAATTCATTACTCCCTCGGTAATCAAGGGTAAAATTATCATTTAGTTGATTAAATAATGTAATAGAGGCGGGTTCTTATAGGAACCTTAAATATTTTGAGAACCCGGAAACAACCTATTTTATGTAGTATTCATGATGAATGTAACGTCAGATATTCATGATGAATAATATTCATTATTAAAATTCATCATGAATACTACATAAAATAAGTGGCTCTCCGGTTCTCAAATTATTTAAGGTTCCTAAATGAACCTCCGTATAGTGTAATAATTAAACATTTCTAAACATGGCTTTTTCATTGTGCACATTTATTTCGGGACGGAAATATTTTCAATCAAGATTTAGGGGTCGTTTACCTAAACACTTACCTGGTAAGCGATTAACGGTAAAATTCAACTCCATCGCTTACTTATCGGGTAAGATTTTAGTCTACCAAAACGACATCGTGTGTAACAATTTACTCGGTAAGCGCTAATCGTGGTAAGAGTCGTCGCCATTACTTACCAGGTAAGACTCGGTCTGTGCCTTCGCTCTTACTAGGTAAGATTCTTGGTACTTGTCATATTCATCCAGTAAGGGAATGTGACTTGACAAGCGCTTACCCGAGTAAGAATTTGGTAAACGGACCCTTAGTGAAATGTAATCAAAAAGTTCGTTTTTACGTCACCTGAAATTCGGAATGGCCAACAACTTAGACGGTATCGGTCCCGAAAAGAGATTATTCTCCACATCCCTACAGTAAAATACGTATTGTAAAATACACGAAAACATAAAAATAAAAATAAAAGAATTATAATCTCGAGAGAAACTTCATATCGAAAGAAGATTTACAAAGCTATAAGGGGAAGATCTTGCAACACATCAAGAAGCCCCGTAAGATGATTATCCTGTAAGTGCCTGGAAATCGATCAAGAAAGTCCACAAAAGTCAAATGAAGCAGTCAAACGAAGCATTTTTCGAACTCAAATTCGACATGAATTTTTCAACTTTTAATGTACAAAATGTTGTCCTCCGAATACTTTCAGTATACTTAAAAAGTAGTTGTCTGTATCTTCTAGGAAAAGGGAATAAATCTGGTTAATTTTGAAAATTAGAATTGGCTTAATTGACTTTCAAAAGTCAAAAGTGTACTTCTTTTGGGACAAATGAAGTGTTCTTTATCTGAAAACGAAATGTAAACTACTCACAATGTGGTTAACGATGGCAAGTTCGCCATCGAAGAAGGCAGTGGGCCGCTTAGATTGTTAGCAGACAAGTCCCTGCAGCAAGACATATAATCTTTAATATATATATATATATATATACATATATACATACATACATACATATATATATATATATAGAGAGAGAGAGAGAGAGAGATCCATGTTAAGGGGAAAACCACAAAAAATGGAAATCGAGGAACACCCTAATAATCATTCATATGTACTGTATGCAGATGTGCATACAAGTGATTATAATCGTTTCCTATTTTCTATGCACATGTGCATACCGGACAAATTACTTTTATGCACTGTGCATACCATATACAGACAAATGGTCATTAGGGTGTTCCTTGGTTTTTCATTTTTTTGTGGTTTTCCTCTGAACATGACCAATATATATATATATATAAACACAAAAACAAAATAAGGAGAAGGATAGTGTACAAATTTACTAAGGGCGTAAGCAATTGAAAAGAATTTGGAATTAGTCCCGTTAAGCGGTTGTTGTTCAAAGATCTGAAAAGAAATCGAAACTTTGTTAGAAAAGATCGTACAAAAGCTACATGAACACGATAATTCAGTGATCCAAGGGTCACTTGACCCCAGGTTACTGGTAGAGCCCAACCTCTCTAGAGGTGAGGAGTGTGCATGAGTTTTGTTGTATATAAAATATTATATACTTAAAAAAAGGACATGATATCGAAGTGGGATACTTACAAATCCGTCATTTGGCCTAAAATGGAAATGGAGTCCGGGATGCTACCCGTAAGTTGGTTGCCTGAGAGCGTTCTAAAGGGAAAACAAAACAAGAATGTTGTTTCATCAAGAAAACGGCTTTTATGAATCAAATAACTTGGCTTTTCTTAGAACTATGTATGCAAATACATACATACATATACATAGACTTGGGATCATGTGAGACCAAGGGTTTTTCGTGAGACCCGTAAGACCAATTCTCAACTCTTAGATTAGATCTATAATCTGACAATCTAAACATTCATAAACGCCACGAGACTTCTCAATAATCACATAATTGCCATCGTGCAACTTTAGACCATTAGATCATTAGCTTATAAAGTTGACCAATGAACATAAATTGGTCTTGCGGTCTCACGAAAAACCTTTGGTCTCACGTGAACCCAACTCTACATACATATATATACATATATATATTCCTTTAGTTTAATGAAAACTACAACCAACAAAATAGGGGAATCTTGTGGATTCGAATAAGTATCGTCGTTTTTTGGGTAACGATGATGATAAATATATAAGGTTAATTTGAAAACTTGGCATAATATGAAATGTTATACTCCCTCCGTCCCAAAACAAGTGTCCACTTGAAATAAATATTATAAATTGGATAAACATACAAGATCTTGATAGTAAGTGGAAGGTTTGACGGTATACGGCCTCCAATGTGATTATTGCTTAAATCTCTGCAAGCAAAAACACGAGCACCCGATGCAACGAAGTTAAAAACATTTTTACGCAATTTTGAAATACGGTATTCATTATGTCTCTAAGGTACGAACTTACATTTGTATGATGGAAACGAAAGCTCCCAAATTCTCGCCCAATTCACCTCCCAAATTGGCACCATTAAGAATGCTATAAACATTCGCAAAAATTAAAACTTCGGCAAAAAGAAATCTTGAAAGAAGGCAATAAAATGTATCTTTGAAAATCAAGATTTTATTAAAGAATCATGTACCGTACATTCCGGTAATGTTAGAGTTGACGCATTGGACACCTTGCCAACCTTCCGCACACGGGTCTCCCCCTGACACCAACCATCCGGGAAGAGGTGGGTAGCCGAGAGCGGCATAAAGACTATTTATTGCCAAGACTGAAATACAAAATAACATTAAAAAAGAATCTTGACAATCACTAGAAGCTTTATGGTTTTTAATTAGTAACAAGAATTTTGTTACTTCATCTTACATTACGCATCTGTTGTTGAACAAATTAAAGAAAAGGTTCGGCCGTTGTGCGCCAAGGCTCAAACTTTGCAATGTATTTGTTTATGTGGCTTGAGTCACAGAGGTGTAACCTTGGCGGGTTGCTCCAAGTTCGCCCTTTCAAGAAAAAAAAAACAACTAATATTCTAAAGGGGGCTTGGTTCGTGTTAAGGAATGATTCCCATTCCCTGCCCCTTAATATCCCCAACCAAGGACCCCCCCCCCCCCCAAGTTAAACATTCCTAAACGTCTTGGCTTGGAATTTTTGGCATCAAGCATATAGCTTGAACAGTATCTGGTCTTTTTTTCAAATATATAATATTTATATACAGCAAATGCAACAAATAAACTTACACGCCACCTTTGGCCTTGGGTGTAATGGGTTTCAACCCCTCATTCCCTTTTCCAATTCAAGAAACACGACATAACAAACTAATTCATTATACAAGTTCCTCGGCATTGCTATGCATTACGTTGGATATAATAAAAAAAAGAACAAGTTATTAGCCTTTCAAACAAGTGTACTTGACATTTCATTTCTAAACAATCAGCCTACTCATGAAAATGGGGAGAAACATATTCCAACTGACAAAAGAACCAATCTACTTGAGTTCCTTTTTTCCGTTATTTCTTGATAGAAGAACAACTGTAGTCTCTCAACTGAATTAACTGAATTCTTCAGAGGTTTGGGTGGGGGGTTTATGAGGGAGAGCTTACCCTCCACCCCCACCCCTCAAGGCACCAAATTTATTATCCACTATGTGATGGACCAGTTTCAACTCAGATTAGCTACACATTCATCAACCATTTAAGCTAAGAGAATTATGACTTCATTAGTATATATATATATATAGACTATTCATGACAAATGGTCTCTCTCTCTCTCTCTCTCTATATATATATATATATATATATACATAGAGAGAGAGGTAGGTTCATTTAGGAACCCATATACCACCCTCTTTATGAGTATTCATGATGAATGATGTGATAAATTGTTCATGAGAACCCCTGTAATTTACAAGAACCCTTGTAATTTACGAGAACGCGATAACAACCCAATAAGAAGGCTAAATATCTTGAGAAGGTAAGGAGGGAAGGTTCATATGTGAATCATTGAAAAAATGCATTTGAAAGAAGCATAAGCGAACCCGTATGAATAATCTGTAATGTTAGTTCATTTTCAATGATTAACATATGAACCTTCTTTTTTCATGTTGTCACTATATTTAGCCTATTTATCTGAACCAGCCCCCTAGAACACAAATTATGGAATTACAGGGAACTACATATAAATCAAGCATAAGCTACCAATTACAACAAGGATTTAACTCAAACGGTGAACAATCAAGTTCTAAACTTCAAATCAAAAAGACTGAATTGAAATCAATCAAGAAATTGAAAGAAATTAGGAGCTCAAAAAGCTTACTATCACGATGATCAGTGTCTGCAAAGCAAATCTCAGCACTGAAAATTGACATCAAACCCACAACAACCAGCATATAAATCTTCCATCTTGAATACTCCATCACCAATTAATCCCAACTTCCAAATTCCGAAACCAGCTGAAAAGGGTGTTTCGATTATCGAAAACAGGAAAAAACCCACAAAAATTAATTGGGTTTCTTGAGAGAAAAATAAGCAAATACCCACAACATGCAAACACAAATACACCAAATTAATTTAGGGAAAACGAAGAACACAGAATGACGACAAATGGAAACCTGAGAATAAGCGTTTAAAATCGAAAGAAAGCCGATAAAAGAATGGAATTTATGAACAGAAAAGATGAGTATGGAAAGTAAAGTAAAGAAAAAGATCGACACAAAAAGCACAAGAATCGCACTCAGAAAGCAAATCTTGAAGGGGATTGACCAAAAATTTCAGTCAAAAGTAAGAAAGATTCATCAAAAAAGAAATCAAACCCAGGAATTGAAAATGGATGCTTAGTATAGTATGAGAGCAAGAGATGCACAGAAGAAAGCGATGAACCCTAAAAGATTACAGAGAGAGAGAGAGAGAGAGAGAAAAGGTGGTGATGTTTATTGGGCAAAAAGGAGATGATGGTGCTTGATGTTTATCCTGTTTTTTAAAGATTATGATTTCAAATATTTTGAAGAGATTTAAAAGGCAAGAAACATGCTGAATTTGGATAATTTTGTATTGTTTTTTTGTAAGATTAGACCGTTGAGTGGCCTAAGTGGCGAGGGTGGGAAGGATAGACGTATTATTTGTGTTTTCAAACTTTAGTGTTTTTGTTTTTTCTATTTGTTTGGTAATTGTTGAATGATTTTGTATAAAATGATTAAGTATTCAGAAAGATCAAGAGACTCTTATGATATAGTGCAAAATAAAATATAATTATTTGGTAATTGCTTATAATGAAATTAGGGTTCTTAATGGTTAAGGGAGGTTTATGATACAAAATCATTCAGAGGGTTTTAGAATCATTAAGAGACAAACTTTTTTTTTGTTAAACAAGATTCATCTATTAACGATTCAGAGATTGCATCTTAATGAAACTATTAAGAGGTAAACAAACAATCATTTAATTATAATGATTAAGAGGTTCTCATGATAATATTGTAAAATGAAATATAGTAATTATTTACAATGGAATTAGGGTGTTAAATGGTTAAGGAATGTTCAAGATACAAAATCATTCAGAGGGCTTTAGAACCGTTAAGAGACATACATTTTTTTCCCCAAACAAGATTCACCTCTTAATGATTCAAAAACTACATATTAAAAGGTAAACAGACAACTCGTAAGAATAATAAAAAATCAATATGATTTATAGCGGAAGAAAAATAACTGTCAATATTATTATAGATTCTTTAAAAAATTATATAATTGAAAATTAAAAATCAAAATACTTTGAAAACTAATATTTAACTTCGACAAAGTTTTCAATTCGTTAAAAAAAAATCAGGGAATTTATATGTTTATAAACAGTTCGATGACTTTTTAGTTTAAACTATCAGAATATTTTCGATGACTATGTTAAAACAGATATTTGGAGATTTAAAAAAATGTTTTTTTATTAACCTGTGTATCCAACCCGTTATGCGAGTCGACTAATTCCAAGACAACTACCTGCTTTAAAAGAAAATGTTGTTATGGTTATACTAAAATGAGAGAGAAAGTAATATTTTAATTTTCTAATCAATAAGAAGCTTTGAATTAAATGAATATGAAAAGTAATAATATTTTATTAAATGTATTTTAATATTTTTAATAATATAATTAATGTTGTAATTATTAAAATAAAGCAGTTGTTTGAATCATATAAATTTTTATTAGAGATTTTGACTTGTTATATTTTCTTTTATAAAAATTATAGCATGATAGTTGCAGGTGTTTTGAGAGTAGTTTGAATTTTTTTTTTTCAAACTTTTCTAATATCTTATTATATTAACCAGTTTTATAGGGTAAAACATATATTTTCAAGAATTTATTTATTTAAAAAAATATTATAATCATTTAAAATAGAAAATTTTATTGGATTTAAAAGAAATCCTAAAA